TACCCACTCCGCAAGTAGCTCAAGGGAGCTGAATACAACGTCCATATAGGAAGACACCTCCTAATACCGCTTTTGGACGAAACGTAGGTCATAGAAATGTTCAGGAGGATCCCGCTGAGGTAGTCATGTCTAACTATTCAGCAGAGGGTGATATGGATGGTTATCGTGAGCCCTTCCACCCACATGCCAGATACCATAGGTCTCCCCTTCCGCGTTATCATAATCCTTGACATAGATATGTCCACGAAGAATCCAGAGATATTACACAAAAAGTCAAAGTGGACGCTCCTAGCTTTGATGGTAGGTTAGATCCTGTCACTTTCTTAGATTGGTTGGATGACATGGATAACTACTTTGATTGGTATGATATTTCCGACACAACCATTGGGTTTATTTTGCCAAAATGAAACTCGTTGGTTCGGCTAAGAGATATTGGCAGGGAGTCCAACGAGACCAAGAGCACCTAGAAGGACAACTTATTACTTTATGGGCTAAGATGAAACAAAGATTGCGAGATAAATATCCCCCTAGTTACTATAAGCGCTAACTCTTGGACAAGTGGATGAACTTGCATCAATTGACCTCGAGTGTGACTAATTACCTAGCTTAATTTGAAGAGCTCTTTCTGAGATGTGACATAAAGGAAGAGTTTTGGGTAACAGTTACAAAATTCATTAATGACTTATGACTTGAGATTAAGAGAGAGCTTAACTTACACTCTCTTGAAACTGTTGAGGAAGCATATTATAAAGCCTTAGAGATTGAACAATACCTTAGGCCACCCTTTCAGCATCGAATGCCTTCTCAAACCGGAGAATCTCAACCATCAAGGTCAGTCCCATTTGATCGGTCTGGAGGCGTCACCCAGTCAGGCCCTATCACATCCAGGGGTAACAATTACCCCAACTTGAGAGGTAATACCACTAGGGGTCGAGATTTTACACTCACAGGTTCTTGCCAGGACAGTTCTTCCATAGAGTGTCACCGTTGTCATGGCAAGGGTCATATTGCTTCATAGTGCCCTCAGCGTACTTTGACCATTGACTAGGGATTAGATAATTCACTTGACAGAGAGGATGTTAACCTAGAAGTTGATCCTTTGGATGAGGAACCCTTAGATTTACTAGATAAGGGTGTGGAAGAGTGGCAAATCGATGACACCCATGTCAGTGTGATGAGATGTATCTTATCCACCCCTTCAGACACAGCAGCATGAAAACGCATTAGTATTTTTCATACTCTAGTCTGATGTGGGGGTAAAGTTTGCAAGGTCGTCATTGATGGGGGTAGTTTATTGAATGTCATCTCTAAATCAGATGTAGCTCAGTTTCAGCTTAAGTCAGAGACACACCCACAACCTTACAAAGTTGCATGGGTTGACAAGACCTCCTTACCAGTCTCACATAAATGTTTGGTCCCTATTCAAATAGGAGACTATTCAGATCATATATGGTGTGATGTCTTACCTATGGATGTCGCTCATGTCTTGTTAGGTCGTCTGTGGCTTTTTGATCTAGATGTGACAAACTATGGGAGGGATAATACCTATGTTTTTAAGCATAAGGGAAAAACCATTAAGTTAAAACTTGCGAAACCCTCAGAAAGTAATACTTCAAAGTATAGGTCATCTTCTCCAGTAATTTACAAGAAAGACCTTCACATCTTGACCCATAGAGAATTTGAGAAAGAGAGAAAAGAGTCTGGTATAATGGTAGTTCTAGTTGTCAAAGAAGTTGTTCAAAGTCCTCTGGAATCTAAAGACGATCTATTGCCTAAGGTTGATAGTCTATTGAGAAAGTTCCATGATGTGATTCCTGAGGAACTACTCGATGAGTTGCCACCAATGAGAGATGTTCAGCATGCTATTGACTTAGTTCTAGGATCTCAGTTGTCTAATCTTTCCTATTATCGTATGAATCCCACTGAGCGTGCTGAACTCCAAAGGCAAGTAGATAGACTGTTGCAAAAAGGGTCTGTTCGTCATAGTCTTAGTCTATGTGTTGTCCCTGCTTTGTTGACCCCTAAAAAAGATGGCTCTTGGAGAATGTGTATTGATAGCCGTGCCATTAACAAAATTATCGTCAAGTATCGATTTCCTATACCGAGACTTGAAGATATGCTTGACCTTTTGGCCGGTGCACTTTGGTTCTCCAAAATTAATTTGCGTAGTGGTTATCATTAAATCCGAATTAGACCAGGAGATGAATGAAAAATCGCATTTAAAACCCAGGATGGACTTTATGAGTGGTTGGTCATGCCTTTTGGATTGTCTAATGCACCTAGCACATTTATGAGGGTTATGACTCAGATACTACGTCATTTCCTAGGAAAATTTATGGTTGTTTACTTTGATGACATCTTGATCTATAGTAACTCTAAAGAAGAGCATTTAGATCATCTTCGACAGATTTTATAGACATTACGTGTGGAAAAATTCTATGCGAACCTTAAGAAGTGCTCCTTTATGCAAACTCAAATTTTTTTCCTTAGATTTGTTATTTCTGCGCATGGTATTGCAGTTGACCTAGAGAAAATTTGTGCTATTAGGGATTGACCAATGCCAAGAATAATTTTTGAGGTTTGAAGTTTTCATGGTTTGACCACTTTCTATAGACGATTTATTAAAGGGTTTAGTTCCATTATGACTCCCATCACAGAGTGCATGAAAAAAGGGGAGTTTCAATGGACACTTGTTGCAACTAGAGCCTTTCAAGAAATTAAGCACAAGATAACAGAGGCACCCGTTCTTCGACATCCAGATTTTTTTAAGGTGTTTGAGGTTGCCTGTGATGCATCTGGTGTAGGGATAGGTTGAGTTTTGAGTCAAGAGGGTCATTCTATTGCTTACTTCAGCGAAAAATTCAATGAAGCTAAACAATGATACTCTACATATGACAAAGAGTTCTACGCTGTGGTACAAGCTCTTCGTCATTGGAGGTATTATCTATTGCCATCTGAGTTTGTATTATATTCTGATCATCATACATTAAAATACCTTCATTCCCAGAGAAAATTGAGTGTTAGGCACGTTAGGTGGGTTGAGTTCTTTCAGGAGTATAGTTTTGTTCTTCACCACTGAGCGGGCATTTAAAACAAGCTTGCGGATGCTCTTAGCCGTGTAGATACTGTTTTACACACTATGCGTGTCCATGTGATTGGCTTTGACAAGATTAGAGATGAGTATGCCTCTTGTCCTGACTTTGATATCATTTTTCAGGAGGTTCAGTCTGGTAACCGTCATGAGTACATTGTCTTCCTCCTTAGAGATAGTTACTTGTTTAGAGGGTCGCGCTTATGTATTCCTCGTACTTCACTTAGGGATTTCCTGATTTGGGAATTACACGCAGGAGGTTTGGTAGGCCATTTTGATAGGGATAAGACATTTACACTTGTTGAGGATAGGTTTTATTGGCCCATTTTGAGGCGTGACATTATTAGGATAGTGTCACAGTGTTGCACTTGCCAGTTAGCAAAGGCTAGGAAACAAAACACAGGGTTGTACACACCATTACCAGTTCCACACACACCATGGAGAGACCTTAGTATGGACTTTGTCTTAGGATTGCCTAAAATAACCTGTAATCATGATTCCATTCTAGTTGTCGTGGATAAGTTTTCTAAGATGACCCATTTAATTCCTTGCACTAAGTCTACTGATGCCTCACATATAGCAAAGTTATTTTTTAGAGACGTCATCCGGCTACATGGGTTGCCTATTTTCATTGTGTCTAATAGGGATGTCAAGTTTGTGAGTTATTTTTGGAAGACACTTTGGAAACTCTTTGGAACTAGTTTTAAGTTTTCTTCTGCCTTTCATCCCCAAACTGATGGTCAAACTGAGGTAGTCAATCGTAACTTAGGAGATTTGCTTAGGTGTCTAGTGGGTGAGAAGATAGAAAATTGGGATTTGTTGTTGCCTACTGCTGAATTTGCTTATAATAATTTCGTCAACAGGTCAACTGGTCTATCCCCTTTTGAGATTGTTTATGGTCATTCCCCTAGACAGCCCATTGATTTATTACCTTTACCTCCTGATTCCCGCCCCTCACACTCAGCCGAAGCTTTTGCCCAGCATATTAATGACTTGCATGCCGACATAAGACAAAAAATTACATTAAGTAGTGAGAATTATAAATTGGCTACAGATGTTCATCGTAGGAATAAAGAATTTATTGTGGGATACTATGTCATGGTTCGTGTGCGTCCTGAACATTATCCTAAAAATTCTTTCAAAAAGTTACTTGCTCGAGCCACTGGCACTTTTCGTATTTTTCGTAAGCTTGGACCTAATGCATATCACCTTGACTTACCTTCGAATATGAATATTAGTCCTATTTTCAATGTGGAGGACTTGTTTCCTTATCATAGTACTTTTGAGCCTCCTATGTTTCCAGCAGGTGTTACTACAGGTGGACTTGCTTCGTCATCAGCATCAACTACAGTTCTTATTCTTCCACCGTTTCCACCACAGCTGCATGACCAGATCACAGATGTACTTGATGATCAGGTTGTGGGCTCCTCGGATGGAGGATATCGTCGTTATCTTATTCGGTGGAGAGATCGTCCAGAGACTGATGATTCATGGATTACTGAGGAGGAGTTTCGTTGGCTTGACCCTGATCTTCTAGAGCATTATCATGATCGTATCTCTCCGGAGGCAAGTTCTTTTCAGCCGGGGGGAAATGATAGGAATCGGATTATATTTTGTTATAGTAGGCGTATGTGTAAGAATTAAGAGTTATTTGTCATTATACTTTTCAGGGGTTTAGTTGTCATTATGACTATTTATTTCTTTTAGAGTTCTTTTAGGATTTGTGGTCTCTCTCTCTATATATATAGGAGATATGTTATTTGTTTTGGTAGACTTTGATTATTGATTATTGATTATTGATATTGAATTTTCTTTCTAAAATTCTCTCTATTCTCATCTACTTCTTCTTCTTTTCTCATCCCTTTCTTCTTCCCTTCTCATCCCTAATTCTTCCCTAATACGATCTACATCAATCAGACTGTTCTTCTCTGTGATGGGAAACTCGTTTTGGTTTAATGAATTTGGCCACCAATGCACAATTGCTCATGCTTGATCTTGCCTTTGTCCCACCAGACACATAAGATAATATGGACTTCAAGATCAAGCAATTGATTGTCTCCACTTCTCTTAGTATGCTTATAATGGCTACAAAGTTACTGTCTTTTTCTAAGAGTGAAGAGGAGTAGTTTTTCTCAAAGTTCTCCAAATTCTGGATGCGCTTGGATACCATTTTATTGGCCTTCTTTCTGGAGATCATATAAGTCCCAATTTCATCTGCCAAACCAAGTTTTGTGCCCCTTTTTCTCCGAAGGGATGATTCAAGCTCTTGGACAGATTCCTTCATATGCAGCAAAGCATCTCTAGTGGTTCCATACACATCCAACAACGCGAGAGATCCATCCAAAACATCATCTGTCCATTTATCTCGTTGTTCTTGGAAGAGGACCTGTTGGATTGATGGCAGCTGAATCAAATCATTGAGAAGTTCATGCAAATCTTTGATGCTGCTCAAGTTGTTGCATATCAAAGATGCTGATGAGGATGAAGTGCCTGCTTCCAGGGCCTTTAACCTGTGCAAATGATCCTCAATGCTGATGGCAAGAGGATGAGATCTCAATGGCAAACTGTTTGATCGTGTATGGCAATTTGGAGCCTTCTTTTTGGCACAAGAAAATGTTCCAACACTGAATGAATACTTTGAATCTTGAGGAAGATGTTCAAGCCAAGCCTTTAGCACCAGCTATATATAGAGAAATTAAGGGAACATATGGAATAGATTCCAGCTGCAATGTCTCATCTCTGCTGGTAGTTGAAATATATACAATTGTGCATGAGCAGAATTGCTTTTTGGATCTGAGACAGAAGGGGATCAGCCTCTCAAAATTCATGTTAGCCAACACTTGAAGCTGGTAATATGGATCACGCAGACCTTGCTGACATTGGATTTGGAAACAAGAAGAATCTGACAGCTTTGAAGCTGAGCATCATGTTGGGAATTTGTCAAGGGTGGATGCTTGGCTGTCCTATGAAAGGGGTAGCAGTTTCTTCAAAAAAATTTTTGGCAGTAGTTGGGGACACAACCATATCTACTATCATTTGGCAAGTGAAATTCGATTGTGAAGATAATGCGATTTTGGGTCTTTTTGTTCAGCTAACTGTGTTTCTCATGTGAAAGCAATTGACAAAAATTTTTGGGACTTTCTCTGTACAGTCGAGAGTGTCCCTGATTATATTCTGTTATATTCAAGTCGTGGAGCTTAAAGATAGATTTAGCTTTAACAAATTCGACATTTACTTGAAACTGAACCAATATGTACGAAATAACTTAGAAAACAACTTCTAACTTAGGAATGTTTTGTATGACTCCATTTTACAAAAAATATTTGTATATGTGAAGCAATAGAGGCAAGAAGAATGAGCATTATACATGATTACTAGTCATTCCCAATAGCTATTTATCTGATTGAATTTAGGTCCCTAGCAAAACAGAGAACATTGAAAGGATTTATTCCATCTAAGAAATGCATTTCTACTGCCCCTTTTACAGAAAATTTACCATGTGAGGGTGTCATCACTCTCTCTCTGTCTCTTCGTGTGTGTGTGTGTGTGAGAGAGAGAGAGAGAGAGAGTGATTTGATACGAACAACATCATATAATTTGAAATGAATGTTATATGTATAGTCTGCTACATAAGTACAATAGGAATCTTGACAGCCTTGTCCAAAACTATTAACAAAACTGTGGTGATCCAGGTTGAAGCATGCTTTATTTATTGTTACTTTTGTGGTCTCATCTTGAAATAAATCAATTCACACGAGTACTATGCCGATGTTTCTTGAGACTAAGACACTTCCTCGGAAAAAAAAAATCCTTTGTTATTATTATTGGACTAATATAAGAAGTTCTTGCCAGTAATAATTGATCCGTGAGCCAATTAAATAGCTCAAATTTCAATATTATAGGGTGTGAAAACATATGGAATCTTGATAGCACTGCACTCGGTATACATAAATCCAAGTCTGCAATGCAGCAAGGTTGATTTGTGATTGGACTTCACTCGAGAAAAGTAAAACCCTAATAAATATTATATACGTAGAGTTGATGATTGTTGGCACTTGGACTAACGCAAGATCCATCTATTCAGCTGCATTAAAGCAACCACACGATTCACAGAGAGAAAGAGAGAGAGAGAGAGAGAGAGAGAGAGAGAGAGAGATGCATAAAAGTCAAATTTAATTGTGTAAATACCAATAAGTAGGTATAATGTCTTGGTTGTATTTCTATCATTTACAGAAGTATAGGGGACAAAACTTGTTTTGGGGTGACAGTGAACAAACTCAGCATGCTCACATAAGGCTACTAGTTGAGTACATTTTGTTCTAACTAAACACCCAAAGATGGCTTCTAAACCCTCTTCAAGCTCCTGTATGGCCTGTGCCAAAGTCTGCAATTGCTTCAGCACATTTTGCTCAGCCACAAAATTGATTTCTCCACTGGACTTCTGGATGGTTAAAGCATACAATGCACCATCAATCTTCTCGACTTCTTGGCAATCTGCTTGTTCTTCACTATGATACACCACTCGTTTTGGTTTCAACAATTTGGCCACCAATGCCCAATTACTTGGGTTTTGATCTTGCCTTTGTCCCACACATATAAGATAGTATGGACCTCAAAATTGAAAAACTGATTGTCTCCACTTCTTTTAGGATGCTGATGATGGTTACTAGGTTGCTGTCTGTGTCTACGAGTGCAGCTGAGGAGTAGTTTTTCTCAATGTGCTTCATATTCTGGAAGCACTTGAAAACTATTTTATTGGCTTTCTTTCTCGAGATCGTATAAGCTCCTATTTCTTGTGGCAAGCCAGATTGTATATCCCTTTTTCTCCGTAGGGATGATTGGAGTTCTTGAACAGATTCCTTCATATTCAACAAAACATCTCTAGTGGTGCCATAAACATCCAGCAACGCAAGAGATCCATTGAAAACCTCGTCTGCCCATTTGTCACGTCGTTCATGTAAGAGAGCTTGTTGGATTGATGGCAGCTGAATCAAATCATTAAGGAGGTCATGCAAATCTTTGAGGCTGCTCAAGTTGTTGCATATCGAAGATGCTGATAAGGATGAATTACTGGTTTCCAAGGCCTTCAACCGTTGCAAATGAACCTCAACGCTTGAGGTAAGAGGATGAGATGTAGATGGCAAACTGTTTGATCGAGTATGGCAATTTGGAGTCATCTTTTAGCAGAAGAAAATGTTTCAGCACTGAATGAATACTTTGAATCTTGAGGAAGATGACCAATCGAAACCTTTGACACCAGCTATATAAAGAGAAAATTAAGGGAACATATGGAATATCTTCCAGCTGCAATGTCTCCACTGCTGGTATTTAATATATGTATGATTGTGCACGAGTATAATGGCTTCTTGGATTTGAGACAGAAGGGGACCAACTCTTCACAATTCATGCTACCAACAGTTGAAGCTAAGAGTACAGATTGCACAGACATCAGTGACTTTGGATTTCGAAACAAGAAGAATCTGACAGCTTTGAAGCTGAGTAAAATATTTATTGTCCGTTCCTTGAGTGATTGATCCCATGAGATCAACCATCTCTTGTATTTCCCAACAAAAAAATATTCTTCTTATTTTGATTCAAACATGTCAATTGATGATACAAAAAATTGGTTAAGGTTAAATTCGGACCCACAACTCGGACATCTAAGCTCGGACCCCGTAGCTCATGATCACAAGTTCGGGGTGCTCAGGTCAGGGATCTTCAGCAATGAGACCCTCGTGCACTCGATGATAGTGACAACTAGCACCTTCCAGAAGGTTACGTCACGTCTAGGGAATATAACTTGTAATGGCCAATGTTCTGGCATATGGGTCGCAACAGCTTCAAGGGAATCACTTTAATTATGTAAGAATAGCGGTGGTTACGAAAAAGAGACGGAGATCACGTAAAGCAACTGTACACTATAAATAGGGGTCAAATCCCTTCTATCTAAAGATCAAGCAATCAGCTGTGCATTTATTCTTTATAATCTCCTTCCCCTCGGTTAATAGAAATCCCCATGAACAAGAGTTTTCATTCGAATGGACTAGCCAAACTTCCGAGTTAATGAACTAATATAAATTATCTGTCTATTCACCTTCTGTAATCTAACTGAATCAATAACTTAATCCAGAAGATCCAAAAAATTATGATTAGACATTTCAGTGACCCCTAAGGCTTTAAGTAGTTCACTTTTGTTCAACTATGCAAAATATATAATCATTAATTGTTGAATAATTTATGTTACAAACAACTTAACTAACGTTGTTATGATTATTAGTTGTCAATATCGCTAAAATGTTATTGGTAAAAAACCTTCTCTCTCTGTGGTCGATTAGTAATTAAATCACCACCCATTTTGCTGTCTAGATATCCTAATATTTTTGACTTTATTGATTTAGCAACTCTTAAATGTACATGAAACAACAAACATGATCCAATTGCAATATGTAGTTTGCTTTTCTTTTCTTCATTTGTCACATATATCATGCAAAAGAAAAAAAAATGCCATTTACGAGTTAACAATCTCAAGATATTTCTTTTTGTTTTTTTCCTCCTAACCATGGAATAAACTTACATTTATTTACCTTTTTCTGAAATGTTCATTTCCTATCAATAGGTTTTTTCACTTGGGTCTCAAGAGGTCAAGTAGCATTTGTTCAAATTTTGATGTAACAATTTTTCGTTTCAAAATAGGGAGTAAGTTTTGGCGTAACGATAAAGTTATTCTGTTGTAACTTAAAAGTCATAGATTCGGGTCATAAAAATAATATTTTTGATCATAGAAATAAGAATATATACATGTAATACGTTCTAAACTCTGCAATAACGAGAACCTACTTTGTTTATTGAGTACGCTCTTTTAATTCTTCATTTCTCTTGTTATTTAACTTGATTCTTTTTTTTTTCAAAACCAAATACGATCATGACAGATGTTACAAGCATTACAATTAGGTATTAGGCCCACATAGCATTGTTGTTGTTTGATAACTAACTCCGATTACTGTTACAATGTTCATGCAATAATTTGATATTTTTTTTTTTAANGGATTTCGAAACAAGAAGAATCTGACAGCTTTGAAGCTGAGTAAAATATTTATTGTCCGTTCCTTGAGTGATTGATCCCATGAGATCAACCATCTCTTGTATTTCCCAACAAAAAAATATTCTTCTTATTTTGATTCAAACATGTCAATTGATGATACAAAAAATTGGTTAAGGTTAAATTCGGACCCACAACTCGGACATCTAAGCTCGGACCCCGTAGCTCATGATCACAAGTTCGGGGTGCTCAGGTCAGGGATCTTCAGCAATGAGACCCTCGTGCACTCGATGATAGTGACAACTAGCACCTTCCAGAAGGTTACGTCACGTCTAGGGAATATAACTTGTAATGGCCAATGTTCTGGCATATGGGTCGCAACAGCTTCAAGGGAATCACTTTAATTATGTAAGAATAGCGGTGGTTACGAAAAAGAGACGGAGATCACGTAAAGCAACTGTACACTATAAATAGGGGTCAAATCCCTTCTATCTAAAGATCAAGCAATCAGCTGTGCATTTATTCTTTATAATCTCCTTCCCCTCGGTTAATAGAAATCCCCATGAACAAGAGTTTTCATTCGAATGGACTAGCCAAACTTCCGAGTTAATGAACTAATATAAATTATCTGTCTATTCACCTTCTGTAATCTAACTGAATCAATAACTTAATCCAGAAGATCCAAAAAATTATGATTAGACATTTCAGTGACCCCTAAGGCTTTAAGTAGTTCACTTTTGTTCAACTATGCAAAATATATAATCATTAATTGTTGAATAATTTATGTTACAAACAACTTAACTAACGTTGTTATGATTATTAGTTGTCAATATCGCTAAAATGTTATTGGTAAAAAACCTTCTCTCTCTGTGGTCGATTAGTAATTAAATCACCACCCATTTTGCTGTCTAGATATCCTAATATTTTTGACTTTATTGATTTAGCAACTCTTAAATGTACATGAAACAACAAACATGATCCAATTGCAATATGTAGTTTGCTTTTCTTTTCTTCATTTGTCACATATATCATGCAAAAGAAAAAAAAATGCCATTTACGAGTTAACAATCTCAAGATATTTCTTTTTGTTTTTTTCCTCCTAACCATGGAATAAACTTACATTTATTTACCTTTTTCTGAAATGTTCATTTCCTATCAATAGGTTTTTTCACTTGGGTCTCAAGAGGTCAAGTAGCATTTGTTCAAATTTTGATGTAACAATTTTTCGTTTCAAAATAGGGAGTAAGTTTTGGCGTAACGATAAAGTTATTCTGTTGTAACTTAAAAGTCATAGATTCGGGTCATAAAAATAATATTTTTGATCATAGAAATAAGAATATATACATGTAATACGTTCTAAACTCTGCAATAACGAGAACCTACTTTGTTTATTGAGTACGCTCTTTTAATTCTTCATTTCTCTTGTTATTTAACTTGATTCTTTTTTTTTTCAAAACCAAATACGATCATGACAGATGTTACAAGCATTACAATTAGGTATTAGGCCCACATAGCATTGTTGTTGTTTGATAACTAACTCCGATTACTGTTACAATGTTCATGCAATAATTTGATATTTTTTTTTTTAACGGTCAAGACAGAGGCAGATCATCCAAAAAACTTGACTGGATAAAATTTGAAACACGTAGAAGAAATCCAAGCAACGCCCAGATCTATGGCTTGCCTTCAAGCACGAAACCAAGTTGGAGCTTCCGACCTTCTTACTCTTCTAGACCTCTACCCAATTTGAACTTTCAGACATCACAGATATTCCTTTCCCATCTCCACGCTAGCGCTCCCAAATCCCAGGACTGGGGGTTACTCATCCCCCTCTTCCTCTACAAAAGAGAGAGAGACAGAAGAAACACTATTGAAACCAGACCAACCTCATGGCTTCAACCATCAACCCCTTGCTCTCCTCAAGCATCATTGGTACCCAAATCTTTCTCTCACCTCCAACTCCCAAAACAACCAAGTCTTTGCCTTTTAGAAAGTTTCTAGTAACACGCTCAGTTCTTGACAGAAAATCCGATTCACAAACCCTAAAGACCTTTTCATCGCAGGCCACTTTGGCTGCCTTACTCTTCTCTTCACTCACCCCACAAGCCCTAGCCCTTGATAACAGCAGTCCACAAACTCCATCACCTGTTATTCAAGCTGAAGCACCCAAACCCAACCTTTCAAACGCATCACCATTCTCAAAAAACCTTCTCTTAACAGCCCCAAAACCCCAAACACAGTCTACCTCTGACCTCCCGGAGGGTGGTCAATGGCGATACAGCGAGTTCTTGAATGCTGTGAAAAAGGGCAAGGTTGAAAGGGTTCGATTCGGCAAGGACGGAAGTGCCCTCCAACTCACTGCTATTGATGGCCGTAGAGCAACTGTAGCTGTCCCCAATGACCCTGCCTTAATTGACATTTTGGCGATGAATGGCGTCGATATATCGGTGGCGGAGGGCGATTCTGGTAATGGGTTGTTCAATTTCGTCGGGAATTTGCTGTTTCCATTTCTTGCTATTGCCGGATTGTTTTTTTTATTCCGGCGAGGCCAGGGAGGGCCCGGTGGCCCTGGCGGTCTGGGCGGGCCAATGGACTTTGGCCGGTCCAAATCCAAGTTTCAGGAGGTTCCAGAGACCGGTGTCACATTTGCTGATGTGGCCGGAGCTGATCAGGCCAAATTGGAATTGCAAGAAGTAGTGGATTTCTTGAAAAACCCTGATAAGTACACTGCTCTAGGAGCTAAAATTCCAAAAGGGTGTCTTTTGGTGGGACCGCCCGGTACAGGGAAGACCCTTTTGGCCCGAGCAGTGGCTGGTGAGGCCGGTGTGCCGTTCTTTTCTTGTGCAGCTTCGGAGTTTGTGGAATTGTTTGTGGGGGTGGGTGCTTCTAGAGTGAGGGATTTGTTTGAGAAGGCAAAGTCCAAAGCGCCTTGCATTGTGTTTATTGATGAGATTGATGCTGTGGGGAGGCAGCGAGGGGCAGGACTTGGGGGTGGGAATGATGAAAGAGAGCAGACCATTAATCAGCTTTTGACTGAGCTGGATGGTTTTTCAGGTAATTCGGGTGTTATAGTGTTGGCTGCAACTAACAGGCCGGATGTTCTTGATTCAGCATTGCTGAGACCGGGAAGGTTTGATAGACAGGTTACTGTGGATAGGCCTGATGTTGCTGGTAGAGTCAAAATCCTTCAGGTTAGCTTGCTCTACTCAAGAATTCTCATCATTTGTTTCTTGATTGTGTCTATTTCAATATATTAGTCTCATTCATTAGCATGTCCATGTACCCAAGCTGTTTATGGAGTGCTAATAATTATGGTAGTTAAAGAGAGAACAAAATTTGAAAGCAGAACCAGCCGAAAGTCTAATACTGCAAAACTTTGAAAGTATGGCAAGTTAGGAGTAAAATTTCCCTTCAAGGCTCTAGATTATAATTCAGAGTCCACCAATAGTATCGATGGTATTGGCAAATGTTGTTCCAGAGGGAAGGCCATTTTTGTATTTGATAGTCAATTTGGTTCTGTTATTTTGCATGTAAGTGTTCGTATACCTGTTTGGTAGCTGGGACTGGGTTGAAATCTATATAGCTCCAAATTGTCCTTATAATCTCTCCAAAACAAGGTATTTCAAGCAATCAAATCCAGACTGATAATATCATTAGAATAGATGATGTTACTTTATGCCGGATATAACTATGCTTTTTCTTCATTCCTTGGTTTACCAATCAATACCCTTGTCTATGAAGGTGCACTCCAGAGGAAAGGCGCTTGCAAAGGATGTGGACTTTGAAAAGATTGCCCGGAGAACACCAGGTTTTACAGGAGCTGATTTGCAAAACCTGATGAATGAAGCAGCCATTCTTGCAGCCAGGCGTGACCTTAAGGAAATAAGCAAAGACGAAATATCCGATGCTTTGGAGAGAATAATTGCTGGTCCAGAGAAGAAAAATGCTGTTGTCTCGGAGGAGAAGAAGAAACTGGTTGCTTACCATGGTATATAACATGAACAAGCATCTTTTCTTTTATTTTGATTATCCTTTTGGTGTATTAACTGCATGTTGGCATTTTGATTTGCAGAGGCGGGTCATGCTTTGGTTGGTGCACTTATGCCTGAATATGATCCTGTAGCCAAGATCTCCATCATTCCTCGTGGCCAAGCAGGTGGTCTTACCTTTTTTGCTCCAAGTGAAGAGAGGCTGGAGTCTGGGCTGTACAGTAGAAGCTACCTGGAGAATCAGATGGCTGTTGCACTTGGTGGAAGGTTAGTTCTATAGAATCCCATCTTTCTTCAAATGCTGGTATTTGGCTTCTTGCATATTAAAAACTTCCTGCTCCATGGAATGTTTCTCAAATATATTTAACATGGATCAAATTCTTCTTATGGATCTGTTTTGTCTTCTGCCTATTATACCACCCCAATTTGCCACATATCAAAAGTTTTCACCCTCTCCCTCTGATCATGCAGGATTGCCGAAGAGGTTATTTTTGGTGAAGAGAATGTAACAACAGGGGCATCAAATGACTTTATGCAAGTTTCGAGGGTTGCAAGGCAAATGGTCGAGAGATTTGGGTTCAGCAAGAAGATTGGACAAGTTGCTATCGGTGGACCTGGTGGAAATCCCTTCTTAGGTCAACAGGTAGTGTCATGGTGGCGGTGCTGGGCTTGTGCAAGTCAGATGAGTTTCTGCATGCAGCATATGTATAATTGAGATTATTCTGTTTTATTTGATTGCAGATGTCATCCCAGAAAGATTACTCCATGGCTACTGCTGATGTGGTGGATACAGAAGTGAGGAAGCTGGTAGAGACTGCATATTCCAGGGCCAAGCAGATCATTACAACCCACGTTGACATCCTACACAAGCTTGCTCAGCTCCTAATGGAGAAAGAAACCGTTGATGGAGAAGAGTTCATGAGCCTTTTCATTGATGGCAAGGCTGAGTTATATGTTGCCTAATTGCACTCTTAAGCCCCAAAACGACACTGTATATAGGAAAGGTGGCGTGAGCTTTTACTGCGAGACAACACATGTATCACTCTCCTTCTGGTACATCTTTGAATGACTACCACGCCCCCACATGGGACTATATATGGACACTGCATTTTGTGACAAAAGGAACAATAGATTGAGTCATGACACAAAAAAAAAAGTTGTACATGATGAGGCCTCTCATGATCCTCCTTCACCACGCTGCCTCTTTGCTTCTAGCCCACTGAGCGTGCATTGCATTTAGGACAGGTTGAGCTATCTCTATATGCAACGGTTTACAGATAGAGTTGGTCTGATCCCTGAATCGATGATATCACCAACTAATTGAAACTCACCAACCTAATAAAATTTAGGGACAATTACGCCTGTACTTCATGAGGTTTTTTATTGAATCATTTAAATTTCTGACATTTGAAATATTATATACAGACTCCTTGAAATTTAAATGCGTGTAATACTTAGGTTTCTGTTGTCAATGTTCGTTAATATATCCATTAATAAAATTATATTCAGACTTTTTAAAATTTAAAGGCATGTAACACTTAAATGTTGCAAGTTTAAAATATTATATTTAAATTTTTTATTGATTATAGAATTAACAAAATTTATTAAACGACTAAATTATTTCAATTAAAAATAGAAGATATTGTGTTTATTACAGTTTGATCTCTTGAATTTTATGTCAATGAATGATATAATGGAAAATGTAAATGTGTTAATTAAACTTAATTCATATGTTTGTATTTAATGATAAAAAAATTGACCCAAAGTAAAAATTTCTATTTATGTTAAGATATTTCATAATGGAACACGCAACTGATGTGGAGTTCATTCAAATTTTGGTATCAACAGTGTTAGTTATGATTTTTTATTTTTTATTTTATTTTAACAAATGACATAATAGAATATAAATTTTGATTATAAAAATTTAAATATTTTGTATTTTATCTTTAATTGGAGTATTTTTTTTGTATAAGTATAATATTTTAAACTCGAAAAATCTAAGTATTATTCGTTTCAAAATTTAGGGGTCTGAAAATAATTTATTAACAAATATATTAACTGTCATTAATAGCAGAAATCTAGTCTATGTGTTTCGCACATACAAATCTTAAGAAGTATGTGTATAATACTTTAAATCTTAGAAATTTAGGTGATTAAGTGATAAACTTAATAGGTTTTAGGTGTAATTACCCATAAAATTTACTTAGTACAACAATTATTAATTAATAATCATCATATCCACTCAGAGTCAAGGACATCTCTAATCTTTACTTAAATTTAGAATCTAATTTTAAATTTGAGTACAAAAGTATAAAAAACTTATTCCAATTATGACTCAAACTTATACGAAATTAAGAGAGACTCAATTTTTTATTCAAATCAAAAGAGACTCACATTTTTACTCAAATCTTTAATTGTAAAATTTCACCCTCCTTTAAAGATCAAATAGTTATCTTCACTCTTATTTAAATTTAAGTTTGTCCTCATTTAAATTTGGATATTTTTTTTTTAAATTTGAGTTTGTTTATTGGAATATTTTGTATCAAATCAAACTTTTTACTCAAATATTAATTTAAATTTGAGTAAAAACTTGAATCGTAATTAAAGATACTCTAAGAATTACATGGTATTTAATAGGTTTACTACACCTATCTATGTGTTGGTTTTTTTAACCAAGGAGTATTTGGTTTAATGACACTCATTATCTTATAAATATTTTGTCTTTTTTAAATCAAGAGTTCAAGTCTCTTTGCCCCAAAAATAAAAATAATGCGTTGATTTTTAATTTGTTCCTGATATCACACAAAATAATTATCATGCAAATAATAATCTCGTTGCATTAAATATTTTCTGCTCAAGTTTCCCATGAAGTAGAGAATGAAACTACAACCAAAGAGGGAAAAACAAACTGTTATTCAAAATGCCCGTAATTCGGTTCCAGATCTAATTAATCCCCGGGAAATATATGATAGAAAATTTACAAAGTATGTTTCAAAGTAATTAAAAAAAAAATGCAATTTCTAACGTATCCACAAGTACAACCCCTCCCTCTCTAGTCTCTAGTCAGCCGCCCTTTTACACCGTATCATTGTTCTCTACTACCCAGAACCCAAGCCGAGACTACAAATCACTGCCGCCTGCGGAGCCTCCCAAATACCTGTCGTCCGATTTCTCATCGCCTCAAAATCATTCACACACTGCTCCGACTCCAAATCCCATACTCGTTTCCTCGCAGCGGCTAATTTCTTTCCGGCGGTTCTGTCGAAAATCTCCTCCCAACCATTTTCCCACTCCGCATGAGCATCGCAAAGCTGGAGACTCCCATTGACCCAGTCGGTCCAGCTCCACCCTCTGTGCAGCCCATTCATCACATTGCCAACGCACTCACCACTGCACACCGGCTCGCAAGGCCTACACTTGGCCCCACTTAGTGGCCCCGGACTCCACAGCGCCGCCACCGGGACGCCAAAACGTGCTGGCGGGAAATCGTATTTCCGGTCCGTCACGATGCAGAATGGGAGGCGTTTGGTGACGTAGGGTATGTGTTGGGTGGTGAGTTGGGCTTTGAATGAGCACTCCGAGTTGAGTTGATGAAACCCGGCCGAGTCGAGGTGGGGGATGAGTGATAATCGCGAGAGAGCGACGATGGAGGTGTTTAAATCGCCGATGCCCAGACGGTCGTTGAGTCCGCCGTACGATGAGCCAGGTGGGACCAGGTATTTACCCGGAATGAAGAACTCGGGCCCCAGTGGAGCGGACCAGTAGCCGTCTACTCGGGTTCGGACTATCCAATCGTATGTGAAGTTGTTATGTTCTTGGTACGCTTGAATCATTGTTAGACACCCTTCTACAAGGTTGAAATACTGCAATAGGCCCTGCAACAGGAGAAAGAAACAAATTGATGTTTTAAACCCCTCAATAACTATACCTTTGAGCTAAAGCATCAGCAAAGTGAAAAATATGTAATAATACTGTCTATGGAATCCCATGATGTTTGCAAACAAAAACATAAAAAAAAAAAAAAAAATTAATGACAACACCAAATTTAGTCCCCATTAGAGCAACTTTGTTAACTATTTTAGATAGTCTCTTTCTAAAATTTGGCTCCAAGCTATCTATTCTACCATCTATTTCCTATAATCTATTTTTCACTCGCTGTTTTTGGCGAACCATTTTTACGTCGCTGTTTTTTGCGTCAATTTCCCCCTCTCTCTCTCACTAAAGCTCCACAATACCCGAATTTCGCCTTCATCAATCACAGAAGCTTCATCGTCCACCCAGTTCTCTCTTTTTTTCTCTCTCTCTCACACACAAAAGCTCTGTGTATTTATACCACAGAAAAACCCATCAAAAATCCACTAAACCCACTGCAATTCCACCAAAAAATTCACTGAAATCCCACCGGAAAATCCACCAAAAACCCAACAAAATCTGTCTCTCGATTCCCACTAAAAATCGACTGAACCACCGTCTCTCGATTCCAATGGACATACAGGTACAATATGGTGGATCAAAGTCTTGTAAATGAGGAGGTATTCTCTTTTTGGCTTAATCAGGATCTAGAGGCAAAAGAGGGAGGTGAGATTGTTTTTTGCGGTGTTGATCCAAAACACTTCAAGGAAAAGCATACCTATGTTCCTATCACACAAAAAGGTTACTGGTAGGTGAGCTAAAATAAAAGATCAAAAGTTTCTAATAAAAATCAATTCAATTTTATGGGAATATACCACTAATTATATTGTTGTGTCATGTTCTCAATCTGATTGTTCAGTTTGATGTGGTTTGTTGGGTTGTGTGGAATTTTTCAGGAATTTATCTGTGATATTTTTTCTAGAATTTTTCTGATTTTCTGGTTTGGCAATGAATGACAAAATAAAAGGAAATGGTTTCAACTAAAAATACGATTTCTGAAAATTTGTCAATTGTGATTGAATTTGTGAATTATGGTTGAATTAGTTAAAGTTAATTGAAATAGCTAGTTAAAATAGAGAACGATGTTAGAGAAAATTAATCGTAGTTGTCCTTTAAAATAGATAGCGTTATAAAAAAGTATATTTTGACTAACTATTTGAGAGCGTTGTTGGAAGAAATTAATAATAATTGCCCTTTAAAATAAATAGTGTTATAAAAAAGTATATTTTGACTAACTATTTTAGTTAGTATTCTTAGAGTTACTCTTAATGCGGATATATGAGAGAAAAGAAAGATTTGGTATAAATATAAAATTTGGTATATTTTTGCAAAAGTGTTCGGGAAATTTTATGCGTACCCTAAAAATAAATAACATATTTTTATCCAACGTGAATACCATTTTTTTTCCTTTTCCCCCTAATTTTAAAGGGATTGATTTTGGTGAGTTCGAAGGAAAGGTCATCCATCTACTTTTCCATCTTTTCTATTTTTCTTTCTTACCAAATATGATATTTTATTTATCTCTTCAACTTTACATTCTTCTAACTTTTCATCTTTTCATTTTTCCATCGTACCAAATAGAACATAAAGTAAGAAATAGTATAGAGCTGAATTTAACCATGAAAAATGCTACATACCCTCAAATGAAATTCAAAAAATAAAACTCACATGTATATTATCTCTTCAATAAATAAGTCTCACTAAAAAAGTTAATAACATTGTTGGGGATTTTTTTGGGTTTTATGGCATTTTTCTTTAACCATTGCATCGTCAATGAGAGACTACAGAATAAGGTTTTCAGCATGCAATCTACCACAGCACATCTCGTAATCTCCGTTGCCCAAAACACTGACTAAAAGTTGTCTAACCTTGCCTGATTGGTAAAGAGGCCAATCACATAGCTTTTATCGTAGTTTTGCCCATGGGCATGGCTGTTGTCAAAACAAAACAACACCAACTTGCAGCTACTATACGACAATTTCATTCATAGGTTTTTTTTTTCCTTGAACATTGTTGTCCTAGTCTCCTAGATAGCACCAAATGGCTATCACAATATGCAACTTTGTTTGAAAGCTAGTGTAATTTTCTCGTGCACGGTACTATTGGTTTAGAAGCTCAAATTTAAAACTAGGGAGACAAGACTATCATCTTATGATCATCCAAATGGATTATTATGAGCTTGATCAATGGGTGGCTTATGAAGCATTCTATGCATCTGAATTAGCGCTTTAATCACGAGTTCAAAACTGATATATGATTAAAATGATTTCTGATTAATCAATGCAATTAAAGGAGAAGCATCTAATAAGCCTAGAATATGCACCGGAAAGACAACCACCTGGCCTGAGTTGTTCAGGATTTGGCAACGGATATAACAAACAAACAGCAAACAAAGTTCCCTATATTTGTCATGTTCCCAACAAACAAATCAAATCGACAAATTCAATATTAATCATACTATGTATTTGTTAGAAATTTAGAATATTGATAAACAAGATTTAAAAAAACCAGAAGATATACATACCTGGACGCCATTGGGTGAGTTATCAGCTGTGAGGACTCGGACCTGTGACTCAGTCACCGGAATTGGCTTGGGCTCAAAGATCTTCACCGAGGCAATTTTAGGAGCTACCTTCAAGAGTGAGAACTTGTATGCCATGGAATCCAAAGGACTGTGTAAGAAAAGATCAGAATTCGGATACACTTTTAGAATCTTATGAACAATCGACGGCCCCGTGAGCTCGAACCTCCGGGCTCCACCCACCAAACAGACGGCGATTCTCGACCGATTCAACTCGTCTTTTTTCTCCTTTATCCACCGATTCCTCTCCGACTCGTTCATACTACGAACCCCATTATCGGAGGAAATCGACGGACCAGAGTTGAGAGGGGAATGATTGTGAAAAATGGATTTAAATGGGGCAAAAGTGGAAAAAGGGTTGAAGCTGGTGGTGGTTGCAACAGAGGAGAAAGAGAGAAAGATAATGAGAGAGAGAGGAGGGAGGATTAAGAGAAGGAGACGCCAATCAAGATCTGTAACACATCTCGTAATCTGCATCACCTTTTTTTGTGGGTTTTTCAGAATGTTCATCATCTTTTGGCCGCCGTTCGTCACAAACCCTTCTCCAATGTCGAGTCTCGCTCCTCCCACATAGCAGAAAAAGTAATCACAATCACATACCTGCGAGAGAGAGAGACAGAATGCAAAAATCTGAACAACTTTGCTTTGAATATTTGATCTTCTTCCCGTTCGAATGAATGGCTTTTACTTTTAATTACTTTTAGGTTGGGACGATGATGGGCACGATGGTATCGTGAAGGCGCCAGCCACCTGTAGTTGGGAGTAATTATTCCATGCTTTTTGATTTTAAGGGAGCATACGAAATTCTTTTACAAGGAATGAATCAGCTTTCGTCGTTATCTGCGAAGTACGAACCTATATCAGCACAATACTATGGGCCTTATTGCATGGGATAACGTGGTCAATAGTTTTTATATTTTATTCATCGGAATATTAGTCTTAGAGCATGAAATCGTGTGAATGAAAATTCTTTTGTTTCCTTTTTAATATAATTTTTAATATAATTTCTCAAGAGGAGAAGAGTCAATGGTCTGAATTAGAAGGTGGTTGATTACCCACCAAAATAATAAATAATAAAGAGGATTCAAGTTTATAAAGTATAATAATAATAAAAAACTATATACTTTTCTTACTTTACCACACAAACTTTAGGAAAGGAGGTTTCCTCCTTAATTTATACATTTATATTATACTTCCATCAAAGTACAATGACATGTTTGCATGTACAGTAACGAACCGTTTGGCTGCAGTATTAAATAATAGATTATTATGACTCTCAAATTCAACTTTATATAGCATTTGATTATAAAAAATACTATATATTATATATAGTCTTATTTCGAGTTCTTATCCAAATAATACGCGATATCTGTATTATCAAGTCGATTATAATACCACATGCGGAGATGATATTATAGTCTAATTCAAGCATATTAAGTTGTAAATTTATTATTTTACCCAATAGATAAACAAAAATATTAATAATTATACAAGATTGATACTTTTTTAGTCAATATGTTTAACAAAACTGTGTTTCTCAAATTTATTTATCAAATAATGGGTCAAATTCTTGTAAATTGTTTGGTAGACATATTATGAGGGGATTAAATATTGGATTGTACTATTTTTTATTTAATTGGGTCTAATACTTTGTTTGGTAAGCAAATTTGATATCGTATTAATTTAAAAAATGTACACTTATCGTATATTTTTTNACGCCAATCAAGATCTGTAACACATCTCGTAATCTGCATCACCTTTTTTTGTGGGTTTTTCAGAATGTTCATCATCTTTTGGCCGCCGTTCGTCACAAACCCTTCTCCAATGTCGAGTCTCGCTCCTCCCACATAGCAGAAAAAGTAATCACAATCACATACCTGCGAGAGAGAGAGACAGAATGCAAAAATCTGAACAACTTTGCTTTGAATATTTGATCTTCTTCCCGTTCGAATGAATGGCTTTTACTTTTAATTACTTTTAGGTTGGGACGATGATGGGCACGATGGTATCGTGAAGGCGCCAGCCACCTGTAGTTGGGAGTAATTATTCCATGCTTTTTGATTTTAAGGGAGCATACGAAATTCTTTTACAAGGAATGAATCAGCTTTCGTCGTTATCTGCGAAGTACGAACCTATATCAGCACAATACTATGGGCCTTATTGCATGGGATAACGTGGTCAATAGTTTTTATATTTTATTCATCGGAATATTAGTCTTAGAGCATGAAATCGTGTGAATGAAAATTCTTTTGTTTCCTTTTTAATATAATTTTTAATATAATTTCTCAAGAGGAGAAGAGTCAATGGTCTGAATTAGAAGGTGGTTGATTACCCACCAAAATAATAAATAATAAAGAGGATTCAAGTTTATAAAGTATAATAATAATAAAAAACTATATACTTTTCTTACTTTACCACACAAACTTTAGGAAAGGAGGTTTCCTCCTTAATTTATACATTTATATTATACTTCCATCAAAGTACAATGACATGTTTGCATGTACAGTAACGAACCGTTTGGCTGCAGTATTAAATAATAGATTATTATGACTCTCAAATTCAACTTTATATAGCATTTGATTATAAAAAATACTATATATTATATATAGTCTTATTTCGAGTTCTTATCCAAATAATACGCGATATCTGTATTATCAAGTCGATTATAATACCACATGCGGAGATGATATTATAGTCTAATTCAAGCATATTAAGTTGTAAATTTATTATTTTACCCAATAGATAAACAAAAATATTAATAATTATACAAGATTGATACTTTTTTAGTCAATATGTTTAACAAAACTGTGTTTCTCAAATTTATTTATCAAATAATGGGTCAAATTCTTGTAAATTGTTTGGTAGACATATTATGAGGGGATTAAATATTGGATTGTACTATTTTTTATTTAATTGGGTCTAATACTTTGTTTGGTAAGCAAATTTGATATCGTATTAATTTAAAAAATGTACACTTATCGTATATTTTTTATACGATAAACCTGTATTATGAATTTTTTTAATACCACCAAGAGAAATGGTATTATAATCCAACTCAAATGTATTATTCTACATATTTACCATTATAAACCCCCAAGTAATAAAATTAAGTTGTCATTAATGTAACAAACAGTGATTGATGGTATTTTTGTTAATTCAACATTTATACGATGAAATAATTCTCTAACCAAACAACCGATTGGATTAAATAATTAGTATTCAACGTTTATATTATGTATTACCAAATATTAGATAAAATCACGTATTATTCTAATATCATATTTAATTTTGTTTTTAATTTATCTATATTGTATTAGATTGTATTATTTTATCTAATTCATCCATTTTTAATACAACAACCAAACGAGCCCTAAATGTTTATTATAATTTAGTGGACTCTACTAATCCAATCATTCACACTGATTTGGAATAAAAAATTTGATATACATAACATTACTCTATTAATTTTATGATATCTATGTCCAAAAAGAAAGATATTTTTTTTATTGTTATTTAATGGAAGTCATCGTTATGTCAACCTTGTATACATACTGTATATTTTATGTATGCGTACATTGGCACATGTAATGTAATAAAAAAATCTGGGGTTAAAGATCCAATTTTACTAATTATGTAACAAGTTGCCCACATTTGAACAAAGAACAATGCTATTTGGATTGAATTTATTGACTTAATTCATTATAATTCGACGAATTTTTTATTATTATTCATATTTGAATCCGTTAACAATCCAAAATTCAATCCGAATAACTTAATAACTAATTGTTTTAAAACACTCACTCATTTTTTTAATATTTATATATAAATCATTCAAATTGTATCGAATATAGGTACATCCAAATCCAAATTTATGAAACATAAAATATTAGATTTGAATTCGAATTATCGATAAACAAAATTAATCTATATCTCGCTATTCAAATTCGGATCAAAATTCAATCCATCGATAAGCCTACTTATTAAGTTTATAATTATGGTGATTCGATAAGCCAATCACATTAGAGAAATCATATAAAATTAAAAGAAAAATGACAACATTGATCAGTACAATATTGTATATACAAAACTTAAGTTGTTAAAGAAAGAGAAACAAAAACACCACTTATCTCAATGGGGCTGTGGTGATTGTTAGATTATTATAGAAGTTTTTCATGACTTCTCGTTGATTAGATTTTATTATTTAGTTTTCAAATTTTTATTTTAAGATTTTATTTATTATAATACTATTTATTGTTTCTTCCTGAAGGTACAGAATAATAATAAAATAATCAACAATAAACATATTCTTATTCACATCCAAAATTAAATCACAAACATAAAGAATAGATAAATAAATTTTAAGTATCGGTTGTAGTGAGAGTGAGAGGTGGTGGACGACAGTGGTGGTGGTGGTAGAAAACGGTGATGGTTATGATAGGTGACAATGACTGTAGTGGTGGTGGTGGTCGTGGATGACAACGGTGATGATAGTGGTGACAGTCATGGGTGATGGTGGTGGTGGTGGTCGATGTGAGTGTGGGTGGTGGTGGGCGATAATGATGGTTGTTGCCGGTCGTCATGGTGGGGTGACAGCGGTGGTGGACGACAATTGATGTTTCTGGGCGACAATATGATAGATGGTGGCGAATGACAGGGGGTGGTAAGTGTGGTGAGGGTATGTGACAGTGGGTGTCAACAGTGGTGAGCAGTGAAGGGTAGTGGTGGTAGGTGTGGTGGGGGGTGGGTGACAGTGGTTTTTGATGACGGGTGATGGTGGGCAACAATATGATAGTGCTAGGTGGCGATGATAGTCGTGAGATGATAGTGGTAGTGATAATAAATATAAGAATGAGATAACTATGGTGGTGAGTAGTGGCGGTGACGATAGTGGTGGTGGTAATGGTGATGGTCGTGGGACGGTAGGGGGTGATAAGGGTGATGGTGGGATGACAACGGTAATAGTGAGAGTGGTGGTGGGATAGTGACGGTGGTAGTGATGATGATGGTGGTTATAGTAGGGATGGTGGTGGTGAGACGGTGATGATGATGGTGGTGGTGGTGGTGGTGGGGTGGTGACAGCGATGGTGGTGGTAGTGGTGATGATGATAGTGGGACGATGGGTGTAGTGGTGGTGGTAGCGTCGACGGTGGTTGTGGTGGTGGGATAGCGGTGGTGATGATAGTGATGATGGAGGTGGGGGTGGGGCGATGGTGGTAGTAAGACGGTTCGAAATACTACTTTTTTGATTTAAAATAGTTATAAGAAATTATAAGTCTTTGAATCACTTTTAAAAAGTAATCACAAACACAACCTTAGTGACTTATTTTTTTTATTAAATTTAAAGTGTTAATATTAACAGTCAGATTAATTTTAAAGTAAAATTTAAAAAGATCTTAACCGCGAAAAATAAAAGTTATTTTATTTATTTTTTAAAATTTAAATTGTATTATATTTTATTATATAGATTTAATTTTCACTTTTTTTTTAATTTTTCAAGTACATATGTTATATATTATAATAATAAAATATAATTATAGATTTAATGGATCATCTAGAACTGACTTTGTGAGTCCATAATTAATGGACAACCCACTGCCTATATAAAACATTTAAGCGGGTGTGCTTGAGACTAGGACCAATCTACAAGGGATGCTTGCATTAGTTGCATACACCAAAGTACATACTTTCCTTTTTCGTGTCAGAAACTTTAGCCTTTTCTATGCTTTCTAACTACTTCGTAATTACTTGTCATCCACTCTACGTTGCCTTGGTCCTTCTTGGTGTTAGAATATCTCCGCTATGAAAGCATACTCAAATATTTATTCAAATTTTTAATGATTAAATTTTACTCTTTTAAAAGATTCAATGATTATATTTTATTTTTTTTTAAATTTGAATTTGTTCTATTTTAAATTTAGTTTGCTCTTTTTTAATTTGAATTTGCCCATTAAAAAAGTTTATACAAAATCAAGTTTTTTACTTAATTTTTTATTCAAATTTGAGTTTAAGTGTTGATCAACGTTAGATATGCCCTTACAAACTTTAGCTTTTTCTATGCTTTCTATCTACTTCCTAATTACTGATCATCACTCTATGCTACCTTGGTTTTTAGGCAATTTGATTTGTGTCTACGTCACTCTTATTTTAGTAGGCGTGCCTATTGAGGAGGTGTTACTATGAGCGTCTGAATTTGATTTTTGAATTATTGATGTCTGTCAATACCCTTATGCGGGGAGCTTCAGCTGTTTTAGGACAATGTTTACACTACTCTCAGATTCACAGGATAACTCTTTCTATTTTTTTATTTTTTTCTTTAATTATATTATTTATTTAAGTTTATTCAAAGGTGATTGCTATTTTATATTTGGTTGTATATTCTTGTTATATTGTGATGATGAAATTAATTTACACACTGGGCTCCTCTTGTAGTGTAACAAGACTATCCTTGATATTTGAATTAATTTATTAATTCAAATATGTATAATTATGCTAATTTTTTCCAACGGCGAGGTCGTTCCAAGCGACCATTGAGCCACTTGGTCTCCAACAAATACATGGTGGATGATTGGATTGAAAGAAAAAATGAATAAACTTGAGAATCTGAGGGGAGCTAAATATTTATAAAAAAGACTAAATTGCTACACTAGTGTTTGGACCAAATTTTATGTTCTACAATATAAAACAAATCAGATTTCAATAAATTCATTCAAAAGTCTTAAATAAATTTATCTAACGGCCACAAATATCTTTTTTAAAATCATTCACATTATATCATTCATTTAAACACGAGTGATCCCTAATTTTTTCTATAAAAAGACGATAAATGACACATGTCCATAAACAAAAGTCAACAAACAAATTTGTCACATAATATTCATTTAATTAAATGTGAATATATAGTCAGTTTATGTGACTAAATTAAATTTAAGAATAATTTCAACCTTTGAAAGAGAGGGAAGAAACGATTATCTTGGAACTTAAAAATACAACCGTTATCAACATCCGAATTCCGGAAATTCAAAAAATAGCAGTTGAGATAAGAGAAGAAATTTAAAAAAAAATTATCTGAAAAAAGTCAATAACTGTCGATAAGAAGTGACCTGTGAAGGAGGCATCAATTACAAAGAAAGGACACGATGAAACCGGTTAAACATCTACGACTTGAATATTTTAAGAATAGTTTTAACATAAATTTAGAAATTTGATTAGGTTTAGTGGCTTGATGGGACTTTTCTGAGATACTCCAAGACGAAAACACGTGTCCTCGAGCGTCACTAAAAACCTGTTAACTGAGATCACATACCATCGGCTTACAAATTCTCCCGTCCCGAGGTACTGACGCGTGTCGAGTACGTTTTACGAACCGACACGTATCCCTCGGTCTAATATGGTCCCTCGGTCTGATATGGTACCTCGGTCGTCATGTACAGGTTCCCTCGGCTCGAGATGTATCCCTATCCTCGGTACCAAGACGTACATATCCTCGGTACCGAGATGTACCCCCATCCAGGATGTCTTTTTCTCTGCTCCAATATAAGCTATTGATGTGCAGGTCATTAGTCTAGGCTAGTCTAGGTTAGCTATCATGGTCTCGTCTTACGCAAATGGTGTCAGAAGGGACAGGAAGGCAGGGTCCACAGCCAATAAAGGAGGGACGCGTGGCAAATTGTGTCACATCAGAGACAGAAAGACCATATGCCTTTACTGACACGTGACTTGGGAAAGCAAACATTTAATTACATCATTCCCTTGATGGGACCGCATTCAATGCGGTAAGACTCGGAATTGAAAGGCAATAAATGTCTCTAAGGCTGGACATTTATTGCATCCTCCCCGAGCGGAGATCATTAGACAGTCGGCAGCCCGATGACACAGCATTAATTGCTCAGCGCCCCGAGCAGTTAAAGAAAGAAAGACATTCCTCATCAGAATCAGTGCGCACACTGCCAGTACCTAATGATCATTTACTGACAACACTGACAGCAATTATGAGTTTTTGAGGTATAAATACTCCTCATAAAAGGCAAAAAGGGATACAACAAGAAACTCTTTACTACGAGAGATACTCAGTGCTTTCTTCTTCCTCTCCCTTTCAAAAACTGACTTGATCGTCGGAGGGGATAAGCCGAAAAACACTCCAGCGCCCTTCTAACTTGTTCTCCTTTGTTCCAGGAACCTTTTCCCAGCCTTACTGAATCATCCCTTCAGTTCACGAGGGTCTTCCGTTACCGTTCCAGGTTACCACCGGACCTCGCAGGCTGTCCCAAGCAGCGTGGTTGATCACTCAACTGACCCACTCGAGTTCACCAAGGGAGAGATCTGTTCTCATTTTTTATATTGTGCAAGATCCTGCACGCACATGACTGTTTCATCGGCTGTCATAACCCAGTAACCTTAGAAATTAATAAAAGTATTCTTCTCTTTTGTTAATCATTTTATTATCACTTCGCTTTTTGTAATTTCATTGATTGTGATCATCCAAAAAAATTTTAAAATAAAATATTTGAACTCTACAACAAACAATCGCTTGAAATCTCTTTGAAAGAGATTTAAGTCCATGGATTGTACGAGAAGTCCTTTCTGGTGACCAACAACTGGCCAACAGAATTATGAACCCATGATCCTTGCAGCTATATTCACTTGAAAATACGGCTATGGCATAAAGCATATATTACCTTTTAGATCTGGGGATCGAATCAGCGGCCACAAAATGCATAAACTGGAAATCCAGTGATTAAACTAAGAATCATCTGGTTCATTCTCCCGATGAAATGTTCAGAGGCTATTGAATATTGTTCAAAATTAAATGACAGAGAGAAAATGAAAAGAATAAATAAAATGAAGAATAGTGACAGTTGGAAGCATTTGTTACACGGAGTTCCGAAATCGAAATTTGATAGTATCAAACCAACTACAGCAAAACATGTAGTGTGGTTGTGTCATTGTGAAGACGAGGAGGAAGGCAGTTCTGGTGGCTCATCATCTGAAGGTGGTGGAGATGACCTGAAATCAAGGTTTGGGTAGACACCAGGAGGTCTCTCACGAGGTTGGATGGATAGCAACTGGCTTGAATCACCCACCACATCCGCCCATCCACAATGGGGCTCAGCCCTACAACCACAAGTTAACAGATGTTATCATTTTGGAAGGGCAAGAATCAAAATGAAAATGTTAATTCCATATCAAAATGCTATAGTTTAACTGCTCAAGTTAACAGAAGGAGTAATCGTCGATTCTAAAAGTTGAGACGAACATATCTTACTCATAATAAGTTTCTTCATCCACAACAATATCCCAGCTCTCCCCCGTTGTGCTTTTACCGTATTTGTGCACTTTGCTGATACAAAAGAACAAGCATATTACTTATCACTTTTTTACATGTAAACAACAGGTGAAGTAGTGTCCCTACACACTAAATTTTGACCACACGACGACCTAAAGAAGCATTAGCAGTTAAGACATTCATGAAGGAAACTTGCCCAATCAACCAAGAGATTTCATAACTTTGTTGCTTACCAATTTCCAAAGTGCTCCTCTCCCCATGTCCTTGACCAACCTAGATACAGATAAAATAATCTGTTATTTATGCACGAACATCAAAATTCACACAAGTGAATCATGAACATCTCAACTGAGTGTACATATATCTGGGGCAGTTCCAACCCATTAGGCATGGATATCTCTACAAGTATTCGTTAGTTATTCTACTTTTCAATTTGGTTATTATTAAGTTTTCATCTGTTTGGCTGCGTCTTTTAAGTGCACAGAAATGGATGCCAGTCTATATCATGTCTCTAAGAGAGACAAAAAATACACATAAGCTTGTCTCATACTAAACAACTAGTATGAACTAGATCTTTGTTGAATTATATACTTGCAACAAGCTATAGAGGCACATTATGCAAAGTTTCTATAGCAAAAACAAACACAAACATCAGTTGGTGGAAAAAAACTAAAATTTTGTGATGCCACATCATATAAAATAGCATCAGTGCCAAGTGCCAACTATTAGTGCTTTAAGCAAATTCAAAGCTGTACATTATTCTTTGACAAAAGATGCATGAGACGTACGTTCACTGCTGGGCGATACATGCCATGTCTCCCCTTGACGCGAACCAATGCCAGCAAAAAACCTCTCTTCCCACTTGTCTCCCCATTTGGTTCCAAGTTCAGTCTCAGCCCATTTGTCTGTCCTGAGAAAAATGACAAAATGAATTTCAATAAACTAACAGAAGGTTTCCCCCCCGCATTACCCCATCTTTTTTTTCCCTTCATTTCAACTGGGAACAGAGGGAGGGATGGCATGAATTCTTTACTTACCGCAAGAAGGAACAGCAGCTCGCCTTTTGTATTTGATATACTTTTATCATTCCAATTTTTTATGTTGCATGAATTCTAAAGGATGGGATACAAATTATAAGAAGTCCGCGGCCACAGACAATACAATTTTTTTCATTTGCATGTTCTGAGCACATTTAGATGGCTTCATTTCCCACAAAACATCAAATTCTAGGACTTTCTTCATGGCACAACAAAGGATGTATTTAGCTGTGAATGATTGAAGCAAAATCTTAATTTCCTAGGACATGTATGCTAGCTTCGGATGATTTTCGAATATGCATGACTCCACACTCCAAATTAAATTTTTGACGAGGCATATTGCATGTGCTTAGAGAGAATACCATTTGAGGACAGATCCTCTTCCGTCATAATGCTCTCCCCACTTCTCCCACCATGATTGTTCATTCAGTCTACCATACTTATGTGCCCCCTTCTCAGTCCAGCCCTTTGCATCATATTTTTCCCACCTACGTCAAAACAATTTAATAATCAATATTTAACTGGGTCACTAGGTATGTATCTCAAATATGCACAAAATGCGAATTTATAATACTACTATTATGCAGTAATAATCTTGCTTACCAGTTCTCATACCATCCAGCATTTTCTGTGCCTGACTTTGCCTGCTTCTGTGCACTTCTCTCTATCCTAGCTAGATTGCTGCAGTTTCAAAAGGAGGCGGTTATTGTGTCACAACAATGAAAGGTTATGCTCTTTATGAACATGCAATTTTCAAGTTCTCACAGCAGCTTTTTCTGCACAGTAAAATATTAAGATGCTTAATATTAAAAGAACACCAGGAGAATTACAAAATCAAAACCTCCATTCATCTTGATGAAGAACTTCTTTCCATGTTTCCCACCAGGAATCCCCCTCAGCATTTCGTCCAGATTTCTCTACACCTATGAAGTTTCAACACTAAAGAAAATAAGCACTTTTACTTGGCGGAAAAAATAGAGAGAAAAGAAGCACTTTAAGAAAAGTCCACAATGCTGGAACATAATACATGGACAATTCTTAAGAACAACAATTTGTCTTTATCAAGGAGGTGCTAATTGAGGGGCACACTGCTCACACAAAGCACAAATCATATAGAGCAAATAAAGCTTTCAAAAAGGCAAAAGCATTAATAATGTCAATACATGTGCTGAAATTAAGCATATACAAGTTTTCTGTCAAACATGCTTAATACAACTCCAGATGATTTGCACTACTACTGCAGCTATATGCATATGCATGAACATCAAGCATGGCAAGGAATTCTTCACATAGCCCAGGGTAGTATTAATATAAAAAGATAAAACACTGAAATGAATGACCTTACAATGCAATATAAGCTGTACTTCAATCACGTAATGAATAGCATTTTCAAACTATTTCCAAACCGAATGCATGAAGCATTAAGTACAATCAGAGAACATCATCATGAAATTATCCATAAAATCAATCAGCAAAACCATAAAATTAATGGTACGTAGTATACCTAACTCTTTGTATCCAGTCCAGTCGCTTTTCTCCCACCACTGTCAAGGAGATCAACAAATCCAATTAAATGCATCCACCTGGGATGATACTTAATAAGGTCATGAAAACAACACCATCGTAGAATAATTGTTTCAATATTGTTACAGTTGCAAGAATCAATAATCTAGCATTTTGAAATGTTAAACGTGCAATGGCTATTTCGTTGCTTTTATCAGGCTTCACATTCAATGTTGGCTGTTTTTCTTTAGGGAAATGATTCCAAAATATATATAAAATAAAGTATTTGCTTCATTTTTGTCTTGATTATTATGCAAATTATATCTATAAAGCTTTTTCAACTTCATTTCTTCATAGAGAAACATTTGCTTTAAAAAAGGAAGATTTTGTTAGCAGGCCATAACCAAGGTTAAAGTAGACATATCAGCCCCAAGGCAAAAACCATTAAAGTCAACAGATAAACGAGAAAGCCCTATGAGTTTTTTTTTTTNAAAACAATTTAATAATCAATATTTAACTGGGTCACTAGGTATGTATCTCAAATATGCACAAAATGCGAATTTATAATACTACTATTATGCAGTAATAATCTTGCTTACCAGTTCTCATACCATCCAGCATTTTCTGTGCCTGACTTTGCCTGCTTCTGTGCACTTCTCTCTATCCTAGCTAGATTGCTGCAGTTTCAAAAGGAGGCGGTTATTGTGTCACAACAATGAAAGGTTATGCTCTTTATGAACATGCAATTTTCAAGTTCTCACAGCAGCTTTTTCTGCACAGTAAAATATTAAGATGCTTAATATTAAAAGAACACCAGGAGAATTACAAAATCAAAACCTCCATTCATCTTGATGAAGAACTTCTTTCCATGTTTCCCACCAGGAATCCCCCTCAGCATTTCGTCCAGATTTCTCTACACCTATGAAGTTTCAACACTAAAGAAAATAAGCACTTTTACTTGGCGGAAAAAATAGAGAGAAAAGAAGCACTTTAAGAAAAGTCCACAATGCTGGAACATAATACATGGACAATTCTTAAGAACAACAATTTGTCTTTATCAAGGAGGTGCTAATTGAGGGGCACACTGCTCACACAAAGCACAAATCATATAGAGCAAATAAAGCTTTCAAAAAGGCAAAAGCATTAATAATGTCAATACATGTGCTGAAATTAAGCATATACAAGTTTTCTGTCAAACATGCTTAATACAACTCCAGATGATTTGCACTACTACTGCAGCTATATGCATATGCATGAACATCAAGCATGGCAAGGAATTCTTCACATAGCCCAGGGTAGTATTAATATAAAAAGATAAAACACTGAAATGAATGACCTTACAATGCAATATAAGCTGTACTTCAATCACGTAATGAATAGCATTTTCAAACTATTTCCAAACCGAATGCATGAAGCATTAAGTACAATCAGAGAACATCATCATGAAATTATCCATAAAATCAATCAGCAAAACCATAAAATTAATGGTACGTAGTATACCTAACTCTTTGTATCCAGTCCAGTCGCTTTTCTCCCACCACTGTCAAGGAGATCAACAAATCCAATTAAATGCATCCACCTGGGATGATACTTAATAAGGTCATGAAAACAACACCATCGTAGAATAATTGTTTCAATATTGTTACAGTTGCAAGAATCAATAATCTAGCATTTTGAAATGTTAAACGTGCAATGGCTATTTCGTTGCTTTTATCAGGCTTCACATTCAATGTTGGCTGTTTTTCTTTAGGGAAATGATTCCAAAATATATATAAAATAAAGTATTTGCTTCATTTTTGTCTTGATTATTATGCAAATTATATCTATAAAGCTTTTTCAACTTCATTTCTTCATAGAGAAACATTTGCTTTAAAAAAGGAAGATTTTGTTAGCAGGCCATAACCAAGGTTAAAGTAGACATATCAGCCCCAAGGCAAAAACCATTAAAGTCAACAGATAAACGAGAAAGCCCTATGAGTTTTTTTTTTTGGTGTCCGTATGCTTTTTTTCGTTTGGTTTTATTGTTCTTGTTGATGGGTGGGGTGGAGGGTGGGGCAATGCATTATATAAAAGAGCCTCATCAAGAATGACTTCTATTTGAATTAGTGGCTTGTACAACTCTTGCAGCTTCTCAGCAAAATCATTTATACTTCTGAAGAAAGAATACTAAACTCTAATTACTTTGCTGAAATGGATGAATACAGTCCATCGGCATCAATTCATCAATAATTGAAAGAATTTCATAAAAGTAGTTGAACTACATCATGCTAACTTTCACATGGATTAATTTACAGAGAACTCCTTTATATTGACCTTCATAACTCAAACATAAAAAAACCGCATAATAAAGTAGCCTGTACCGTTTCTTTCCATTCCGAGGTGCCATCATGGCTTTGACCACCCATCCTTGTCCATCTACATCTGTATCCATTTTCTCCGAGGTCCTCTCCACTTTCTCGATACCAAGTACTGCCATCTTCATTGGTGCCAGACTCGTTGACATTTTCATTTAGAAGACTGATTCCCCAATCCTTCTCATTTGCAATACCAGTGTCTATAATGAAGGAACAATGCATATAATACAGATCATCAGGCAGATTATAAGATGCCAACATTTGCTCTAAACTACATGCTACCATATCAAGAATGTCTCTAAAAAGTTCTGAGATTATCTCGACAGGGTGAAACATCTGTTATAAGGCTGTATGGCTAGTATTGCTATATTACCTCTTCTAGGTGGAGTGTCGCGGGACTGCATACCAGAATTTCTTGGGGTACAACGTGGGAAGAACTTTTCTTGTTTTGAAACAAATCGAGATCTGCAACAATCAAAAGGTAAGTAAACTTGTCAACTTCAGGAAAATGGACGTTGTCTTTGCAACAACTTGTACATGGAGGTATAAAATCCAATATTTACATTTAATAATAAATTTCCCTAAAATACTAACTACGGTAGCATGCCAAGAAAGTTGGAAGATAAAACATAATACTCCACATGTCAAAATAACTCGGTGATAGCGTTACTCACTTTAACAAGTGCATGAGTGATATAAGTACTATGTAGACTCCAATAGATGCATATCAACTTCATTCTGATAGATGAAAAATATTTGAATGGAATTGCTAGAGTTAGAGTTCTAAATAACTTTGACATCATGTACATGCCTAGCAACAAGATGTCATACCCATAGGTCCGCAATGTCTCACACATGATGACTGAGCGTAATAAATTTATGCCAAATTGACCAATCTAGTCCTACATTTAAACAAGGAAACCAATCATTATTGCAGCCTCAAGATATTGAATTGATGTGTGTTGTAATAATTTGAAATGGTAACAGTTATGATGCACTCCAAACGTGTTCGTCTCACTGAAAATATGTCCTTAAACATGGCACATGGTCTCATAATAGGGTATACATCACCTCCTAGACCCACCAAAAATAGGATACGCACCATCAAACAAGCTCAAGATATCATGAAGAATGAAGAGCATCAATCAAATAAGCAGCTACACATAGGAGTTTGGTGCCAAGATTTTTACCAGTAATAGAAACTAACCAAGAACTCTTGACTTTTTTCTTACGTAAGCAATATTTTAATCTACATCATAACTCTGCAAAAATATAATCAAACAATTGGTAAGCTTGTTTTTTCCACTTCTTTAGTGTGTGCCATATGCCACCTTGTGATATGTTAAACTGCCATATCATTTTGACAATAGTTCTTGTTCTTTCTATCTCTGATTATTCCCTCTACTTCAAAATTTATTTTAACGCCAGTAATGGTGAAACGTAATATTTTAACACAATCATGAACGATTCTAATATTTAAAGCAAAAGGTAGAAGCTCGGTTGTCGCCAACTAGCTATAATATTTTGATCAATTCGATTTGCTTGATCCTGAGTCACCTAATACAAGTTTCCAACAGCTATTTTCAGCCAAAAATCAAGTGGAAAGCAGAGAAAGGACACTCGAACCTTAAGTATCTTTTGTTCCAAATCCAAGTAAAATTATAAAACGATCATAATATCTGTGTTTCTCTTCTTTCTCAAGCATTTGTGGCAACACAAAAAAAAGGAATTAAGAAAAGGGGGGGAAATTTTCTAAAAAAGAGGAGTATATTCCAACATGAAAGTAAACGGTTTGTATTTTGATTAGAACGATTGAAATCCTCAATAAAAAGAAAAATAAACCAGCAAGACAGACATATACAAGCACTATAACTGACACGATAGAGCACGTACTGAGGGGACGCAAAGGGCATTGCAGGAGTAGCTTGCATTCGAACTCGGTGAGTGTTCTTCTTGGGATCGAATCGCCATTCCACGCACTTCTCCACACGCTTCCCTGAGCCGGATGTTCGCCGAATCGGACCTAAAGAATCCGAACAGCAGCATTTAATCCTAAAATCAGCGCGATCAATCAACCTTCTCCTCCTCCTCTTCCGCAAATCCAGTGGTTGGTGATGCAGAGGAGGAGACACATCCACGCTTCGGAGTCTGACGCCGAAGGGTGCCGTTAAGCCTCTCGAAGTCGCAGCCATTACTTAAGAACACGCCATTGAGCGGCGAAACGGCCGATAAAGTGATAAACCCTAGCTTCTAGAAGATTCGAAGTGGTTTATCGAGCTTCAATTGCTAGAAATTTGAAATCCCGAGGTAGAAGGAGACATTGAATTGAAAAGGAGATTATAGAGCTAATAGCATTGGAGGAGAGAAATTCGGGGAAGAAGGGGAAGGCATTGGTGTTTGGTTTGGAACACTTTTACACTCTGGACAGCGAAGGGTATGGAGAGGGGCGCGGCGGAAAGTGTGATTTGGAGATCTGGGTGCTGGTTAAAATAGCCTCTGGTTCTTGAGGAGATATGGCTGCGAATCCCGGGGTTTAACCATACACGTGAGCAGTGGAGGGGTCCACATTCGAATTGTATCCGTTATGCCACTCTGGATTTGCCACGTGTTACAGAGAGAATCGTCTATTCAATGAGCAGATATTATTAATACTACGTAACTAGCAAATTATGAAATAACAAATATGATTGATAAACCCAACAATCCTTGACAAAAGTATAATCAGATTCACTAATTTCACTTGATATTTTACCGCTAATTAATGACACTACATTATTAATATCATGTAAAATCAACATCACATCTAATATTTTTTTCTATTGAACAGTACTAGTCTCAAAATTTACCATTGGACCTGAGTCATAAATTGATACTTATAATCCATGACAACCCAATTTTTTTCATTTTTGCATGGGTCGGGACAAACGAGGGTCGAGGGGTAGGGTGTTTATTTAGTTCATTGTCATGGTTTAGAGCTTATAATCGAGTCAAACTTTACAAAATTAAGTTAAATTTGTCAAATTCTTTTTTTTAAACAAGTTTAAAAAATAATTCAAACTCACCTCATTTGAAAAACGAGTTGAGATTGAACTAAGCCAAGCCAAGCCAAGCGTTGTAAGGTCAAACTAAGCCTAAAAAATATATAAAACGAATCAAACCTAAATAATTTGATTCAATTATCGACCCTACTTATAATCCTTGTACCATAGGTTGATTTAGTACCATGCCTTCTTATTTTATTTTTTTTCACGTGTCAAGCTTCTTTGTTCAGTACTCTAATGCACTTATCCGTCCTTTTACACAGTGTTTGTGTATTGTTAATGATGCATTGCGTGCTTGTATATCACATTATTTCACCAGTGCTGGCCAATAACGAGGCAGCCAAATTGCTTGGCCAACCACACAGCGAATACTCAAAGAGTCTTCTTAGATTTTGTTCCGTTGGAAAGCAAAAGACTCAAAAAGTCTTTTTACCTTATCCTGCTGTTGGTAGTTGATTGCCACTACTGCCATTTTTTCTTCCTCCATTTAATGAGTCCCAATACACATAATGCCACGTGTCAGCACCAGGTGATATGATGACCTGGCAACATTCAAACTGACGTTAGGAGCATACGTTGTGGATAAGCTGAAAAATTGGTAGCCTACGTGTCGTACAACTCAGGATGCCGTATTCGTGGAGAAAGCCCACGCCACGTGCAAATCTAGAACGACAAACAAAATGGAGAACTTGGATTTCTGCCGTTGAAATAGGAAACCGAATCACTTTTAAATAACTCGTGGCCCTGTAGACCTTTGGATAAGCTTGATGTCCACTTCATTTGTAGGTAGCAGTGTCAATAACAAGATCTCATGATGGCTCCATTGATCACAAAATTAGAGTTTGGCCCTCGAGTTTAAATCTCACAAACCATCCTTCACTTATACAATATATATGTGATGTATAAATAATTATAAGTATTTCAAAGTTCATATTATAACAACAAATTCAGAATATGTTATTACAATCGGTTTCAACACTGTAAACATAGTGTAACAGTTATACCAAATCCTTTTTTCTAAAATAGCAAATCAAATAGACAAGATGAGGGTTCTTTTTTAGATGAGCCAATAATATATATTACGTTAATTTACAAGGCCAAATGATGACATTCATTCGACCGACAAAACTATTTTAGTTTTTTCCAGAGTCATAAATTTGTATACGGAAACCAGGGCAAAATAAATGGGGCCCAGAATCTGAGTGGCTCCCCCATAACCATATCTGGTTGGAATAAAACGCCCAGACGACAAAACTCTTCTCCAAGACACCAAAACTTTTCCACTTTCATACAAAAGATAAAGATAGCAGGACCACACACACTGGATTAAGTACAGGCTCAAAGGCCCATATGCCACACATTTTTTAAACGGTCAATCAAGTAGCCTATATGCCTCACAGGCCACTACAGATTTGATCATAGTAGACAAACTCTCACATAAGAAAGCAATCCGTTTTAAGGGACAATGTCATACCAGGTCAAAGCATCACAATACCTTGTATGACTGTCCAATGACGCTGGCACAGCAAAGAGGCCAGGCCCCATCAGAGTGACTGCATTAAGATTCCCGACAAATTAAGGTTGCAAAGGTGAAGATAACTCTGAAGTTAGAGCAACAAAGATAAACATAAGAAAAGGAATGGCAAAGACCGAAGTTTCAAACGCACAAGGGTCCACAATCAGAAGCCAATGGTGCTAAATGCAATTTAGACTCCCCAGTTATTCATTAGGTCAAGAAGTCGGACTTGGAGTGATCATATGTTTAAGTGATATATCGTAGGTTAATTAATCCCTTCAAGATTGGGGATAAGGTTATTTAAAACTATTCTCTGTAATGTAGAGCACACAGATGATTGAGCACATGATTCTGCATGAACTAAAAACCATCTACACTCTCCAAACTAGACAGCACAACAAATTGGCATCCTAAAGGAAAAACTGATTGCGAATGCAAGACCAACTGAAGGGTGTAACAAAATACTCAAAATTCATTGGCTTCCCACTAGCACCAAACATGTAAGGAGTTACCAGGATGAGCAACATCATCCAATGCTCATGATCGTAGTTGGTATAGCTTTGTATTAAAATTTTAAAACTAGAGAATGAAAATATATATCAACCAATTAGTGGATGATTTACCTTTTAGTCTCCCGTGCAATAATTTTTGTTTTTATATAGGGACCCTGCCATAAAAAATAATGCACTTACCCTCCCATCATAGGACAATGATGCAAATACAAGCAATGCTTGCAATTAAAATAGCAGTCAGCCTAAATTAAGTCGATCTCAATAGAAAATCGAGGTTGCAGCAATCACCAAAAACACCATTGTCATAGTCAATCTATGAGTTGAGCAATGGATCTACTTGCCTGGTGGGTGACTCCATCAAGCTGCCAAAACCACATTGAAAGATGAAATCATAGAGCACAAATCAAAAAATGAAATTGCAGTAATGAAGTTTTAGAACTAGCAAAACAAGAAGCAGACCTGTCAGATGATAAATCATCACCACCAGGAGCAGAAGCTCACCACAAGTTGACAACAGAGTCTGTTCCAGCACTCTGATAAAGCTTAGTTTCATTCAGCAAAACATCATTGCCTAGGAAAAACCAAGAAGGGTCATTCGAGAAATAGAATGCACAGAACCAGAAGAATAGTTGCTCGACAAACAGAGGATGACATATGCTCAGAGATTTCAGTAGAATACAAAGCAAAGAAGGACTTAAATCTATAAGTTTAGATGGGACAGAAAAGGACCAACTAAAATGATTGCAGAATGTATCGATGCATCAAGCATGTTACTGATCTCTAAAGGATTTCAACATACCAGGAATGTAACTGATCCAAAAGAAAAATAATAATAATAACATCAGGAAGGTTGTTACTAGTTAAAGTGTGAAGAGACATAGGCAATAATTTCACATAAAATGATCTTTACATTTCGTTTTCCGTAATAGCTGAAAGCATATCTGCTATTTACCATAAATAATTGCAAAATACTGAATTCGTAAGAGATTGAGGTCATCCCCAAAAGTAACAATGAAAAAGCACAAATGACCTTGCCTTATCAGTAAAACAGTCACCCTATGCACAATCCAACAAAATACTAAGAGTGCCACTCCATTAGGAACCATGCCATATCTCACTTGCGAGCACATACATATATGCGGACCCCATATACATACATGTAGACACCCTACCAATGTAACATATAACTTCTTCATTACTGTAAAAGTATAAATATGTTTGAACAGAAAAAGTGAGAGAATGAACTCACATCATAGCCACAAACTTACAAGCATATACTTCTTGATATTATAGCCGAATTACAGACATGGGCATTCTCAACTGAATTAATTTTCCTGTAAGCAAATGAATCTCGGTGTTATTATACATTGGTCAAAAATCCGAAATGATACAAAATACATATTTCATGAAAGCAAAACTTCAAACAATTAACTGCTCCAACTTCCAACCAGCCAAACGATATGTTGGACGCAAAAGTGCTACCTAAAAGCTTGTATTAATGGTATAAGGCAGCATGAAATATAAACAGAATTCTAAAATTTGCAATGGGTAAACACATAAACAGTTAAAATAAGCTTGAAACAAGAGAGGTTGAAAACTCCGCCATTACAAACAGACCCCAGGCCGGGGCGGGTCAGGGGGGAAGTAAAAGGATGGGAAATGAAAAGAGCGAGAAGAAAAGTTCAACTCCAGTTACAAACAATTATGTAGTATGCATCTAAATTTCTCTGTTACTGAGGGAAAATAATCATCAAAAGAACAGCTCAAGGAGTCGACAATACAACTATACAAGCCTTTTCAGTCTATTATTAAAAGGAAAAAAAAAAAGAGGTAAGGCATAGCATCAATCACAGTAGACATGAGGATTGTGCAACAACCAAGTACAAGACAGAGTTGAAAAGCACACTACACCGTGCACATTGCAAGAAATGTTTACTTTTTGGATAGATTTGGGTTTAGTTTCATATTATTGTTTCCAACCTATGGACACCAGAAGAATTACATTCCCCCCTAGGGCGGGTACTCCGTATTAATTCCTCTTATACAAAGCAAATTACAGAAGCTGCATGCACAAAAAATTGGCTTTTGCACAAATTAACTTTTTACGCAGAAAAAGAAAATGGGGCCAGTACAGTTAAATAATTCCTAAGGTTTAGTTGCAATAATAGATGCATTCAATCTCTACCCATTCAGGGATTCCGTAATAATTTGATAAGGCATTGTTAACTTGCACATCTATTATGCAAATATTATGATGCTTTGTATTTTGACAATAACAATAATTTTAATAAATAATTCGAAGTCCATGAACCCACAAAACAGCCAAAACATCGCTATATACAGCTATTTCTGCTTGCTTAATGAAGCTTGAAGCATCTGAATTCCATGATTTTCATAAGAAGTTTATCT